GGAGCCCTTGGCCCGGTACCGCGGACCCGGCTCGGACCCGGAGCCCTTGGCCCGGTACCGCGGACCCGGCTCGGACCCGGAGCTGCCTCCGAGCTGCTGCGTGCCCAGGGCAGGAGGGTCGCAGGGTGCAGGCTGTGCTGGGGCTGGCACTGGGCAGGCTCAGGTGGTTTCAGGGAAGCTGCCGGTGCCCGGAGCCCAGCTGGCATTGCCCAGGGCTGTGGGCAGGGACCTGCGGTCCCGGGGCTCCGAGCCGTGCCCAGGCTGAGCTCACGGAGCTGTGACGGGGATTTCTCTCGCCCTGCCGGGCTCTGTCCTGTGCTGGTACCGGGCGGAGCTGCAGTGGAACATCGCTGGTGCACGTACTGCGCCAGGGGCTGTGTCTGCCTGTGGGAGTGTTCCACAGCGGCTCCAGACCAAACAGGGCTCAGCCTCCTCCTCCCCTGTGCGGGGCTGTTGGGAGGATGAATCTCACCAGCTCCAGCAGCATCCAGACACCTCACAGTTCGATCACAGTCATATCTGCCTCATTCAATGCCCAGAGGCATTAAATAACTAAGGGGATGCTGCTCCTTTTAAAAACATTTTATTTCTCTTTTATTTCGTGGGTTAGAGCCTTTGTTCCAAGCTGCCTTTGAAGCCAGCAATGTGACTGCATCCTCAGGCACTGCATCATTTCCTCTCCCGTTCCTAGAGCCCGGCTGTGTCTGTCCCTCCCGCGGGAGCCGCTCGGGTTTGCAGCGCTGCTCTGGGGCCGGGCACGATTGAGTCACTCTCACAAGGTCACCCAGGGAATGGCTGCAGCTGCCAGGAACAGCACCCCGGGTGCCTTGTCCCTCTGGAGCCCACCCTCAGCACTCCAGCCTCCTTTCCGTGGTGAGCATGATGTGATTCATAATGCAGCTGCTCTGCTGCGAGCCTGGCTACCTCTGATCCTGCTGCGGCTACCGGGGAAAGCAGCCAGGCTCAGGCAGACACAGAGATTGCACATGCCTGCAGCAAAAAGTCTAAACCCCAGAAATGGTATTTAGCAGCTTATCTTATCCACAGATAAGCTCATAAAATGTACTGACTGGTTAAAAATAGATTTTAAAGTTCTTGGCAAACATCTCGGCCTTTTTATTCTTTGTTTTTTTGCTGCGGTACAAAAATACCATTTCAATTATTCTTATTCTTGTTCGCTTTTTCTGGTCTTTTTGGAAAAGGACCAAATTATTGATGGGTGTTTTTAGCTTTTAATTGTGCCTCAAGTGCTAAACTTATTCCTGCTATTTGTTTGCAATATGTTTAGGCTATGTTTAGGCAAATGGAAATGTAAGTGGTTATTCAGCGCCTTTGGCACTCTGAACAGAATGTACCGAACTCCTGGGGCTTGGTACAAAGCCTCAGCCTCCAGCACTAACAAAGCCTGTGCAGGCAGCAGCTAAAATAGGAGAACTACCTAGGCTTGACAGAGGGGGTTCAGAAGCTCCGGGAAGACCATGAATCATTCGCCTGGCTTTTGTCCTGTGGACTGGGTAAACGAAATAAGGGAATTTTCACCCGTGTCCTGTTATCTGAGGGTGCTCTCGAGGTCTGGGCATGCTCAGCCTGTAGTGCTGGAGCCTTTGCAATGCAGAGCTCAGCAGCAAGGCTGCCCTGGATGTGCTGCCTGACAGGCAGTGTGCTCCTGAGGCACAAAGGAGCCTTTCCTTGGACAAACGCCACAGACGAGCCAGGCGAGCCAGCACGGTGCCTGCTGCGTGCTCATTGGCAGCAGCTCGGGATTTTTACACTTGTTTGCCTGTTACCCAACCTATTTCAAGCTGTGATGGAATAAGGATGGCATTTGATCACAGTACTGTGCACAACTGCCTGGCTTTTATAACCCCTGTTTTAAATGGGAGGTTTTTCTATGTGTGCTTTTGTCTTCAAATAACTTCAGACTCGTAGGTTTAGGCTTGGTGCTCTCTGCTGGCCTTTGCTGTGACTCTCACTCCAGAGGCTGCTGGGTTACTGAGGTGAGAAGCCCTCAAAGAAAGAGGGTAGTGATGGCTGTGGGCCACACAGAGCAGAGCCTCCATCCTGGGTCTAGGTCTCATGATGGAAATTGAGGATGTCTTTGTAACTCTGTCTTTTTATTGGGCTTTATTTATCATGTCTACGTGTGTGTCTCTGTCTCCTGATCTTGGGTTTGTTGAGCAGGTGGCATCCTCTGTAAAGACGTTGATACCTGGTGCTACAGGATAAATCTCTCCCATCGTGGCAGTGATCAGCTGCTAGGGCTGGGTCTAACACTGCTCTCTGTGTTTGTGTGCCTCTAACACTGGGATGAGTGGCCTCCATCTACCACATAGCATACACCTAAAACTGGTGCTGTTTTACCCCAAGACTTCTGCCAGCAGCCTGTGGTGCAAGCTTGGCCCCACACTTTCCAGTGGATCAGGTTTATTTGTGGTTGTAGTGAGGTTTAGTGTCGTGTCACTCGTTTCAGTGCTGTGGGAGGTGAGGCAGCAGGCTTGCTGCTTCTGCAAGTGAGTGCAGCCAGGAGATGGATGTTTGCCCTCTGGGAGGAAAACCACGACTGGCATAGCAGGTAGTCAGTCAGTCATGAGAAAAGGTAAAAAAAGCACGTGGTGGAGAGAAGGATGAAGTGCAGAGAGGCAGAGAGGCAGGGATCAGTCAGAGATGTCTTTTGTCTCCTTACATCATAACATGAGAAACTCTGGAAAGCAAATTACCAAAGATGGTGCTTTAGGCTGTCTTTGGGTGAAAAGGAAAACCATGGGACATCCCTGCTTTATTCTGAGTGTTTTTCAAGGCCTGTGTAGATAACTGATACCCATAAAACAAGCATGCATTGGTTTTCATTTGAAATTAGATTTGTGCCCATATATTCATTTGCTTTCCTGTTTTGATGGCCAAATTGATTTATATTGATTTGATGGCCTTTTGATTTATATTTCCAAGCTGCACATACAAGTACCAGATTTGGGGCAACTGTGTACCTCATTGCTCCTTCGTGCACACAAATACCTGACACCTGTGACACCCCAGGCCCTCTCCAGCCTTGCAAGGCAGAGCCCAGGGGCTGCTGAGCCCAGGTTCAGGCTGGTGCTGCATGCCTGAGAGACAATCCCCTTCTGCAGGAAGTGAAATTACAGCTGAGGAAACCTCCACCTGTGGATAATGTAGCTTAGAGGGAAATCTGGAATGGCTGGTGTGTTAGAGTGAGCTACAGTTTGTGCCCAGGGATTGCTCATTGCTGCAACTGCTATTTCCTTGGAAAACCTTCACTTGAAGCAAAGAGGCAAATTGTAGCAAATTGGCCCAATGCAAGTACACAATGCCCCAAAATCTAACTGCAGTCACTAAAGAGAAGGCTGTTTGAGTCAGCTTTTAGTGAGAAGCACACAAAAAATTTGATCCCTAAAAAATCTAGCTAATTGATTGTCTAATTTTAGAGTACAACTCCTCTACTACAAATACTATCTGAGGGACAGCTCAGAACCATTGGAGCCAAGGCTAACATCCTATCTTATCCTGGTTTTACTAAATCAGATTTAGGGCCAATAAGATCCAATGGGTCTTATTCTTACATGTACTTTATTGCTGTGTCCTTTCTGTTGATTTCAGGGTTATGAAACTTTCTGCAGCAGGATTTGAAGCAGCCAGATTCCAGATTAGATCAAAGACCCTAGGATTCACTTGTGATTTCTGGTAAGGCTTCTCTATGGTATTCCTGATTAACACTTTGAAGTCACAAGGTTTTATTGTGTCTGAAATGCCATAGGAATTTTCTGCTGACCTTTCAAAAACTTGTTACACTTCAGTGCCTTTTGCTTGTGATTTCCAAAACAGCCTGTGTCCTGTAAAAGCAATTCTTCACAAAGCTTTGGATGTGTTTTCCAGCTCTTCCTGAGGGTGTCTCTGATCCAAGCTCTGCCTTGGTGTGAATGCATGAGAAGCTGAGAGACTGATTGCTTCCTGCAGCTCACCTCCATTTTTCCTCTTGTGTTAAGGGCCATAAAGCAGAAAAGTAATTGAAAAATGGGAGCTGAAGACAGTGCTGTGTATGTACTTGTGAGAGCTGGTTGCCCTTCTTCTTCCTTGCCTTTTTACTCAGTTGTTGTGTATTTGGACTGAAAATGAGGATTTTTGTCCGGCTGAGGCAGGCTGGCTGACAGCTGGTGGCCACTACTGGCCCAAGAGCTCCTGGCCCTGTCCTGCACTTGTCCTGCAGTCCTTGCAGCAGCTGGCTCTGGATGAGCAGCTTGCTTTGCTTAGGAGGCTGCCACGATCAGCTGAGCAGCTGAGTGCTCTGGAGCCTGCAGAGCACAACACAGGGTTGAGTTTTGTTGGCTTTTGAGCCTGTGGAAGGCAAAAGCAACACTGGCATTCTTTATTCCTGTGGTCCCACCGTGGAGCACGGTGAGTTGCAGTGTGATGGGAGCAGACAATGTCTGTGCTGATGGCAGAGGTTGAAATGTTTCCTGTCATGGAAAAGATGAACAAGCCAGTTCCACATCAGCTTTCTTTTCTGAGACTTATGAGTACTGTCAGTGTTGCTGCTATTTCAGTTCCTGTGTGGATTAACAGCTTGGCTATGCATGTCCAAGTGTCACCTTGCCAGAAATGGATGAAGGCAGGAAGGGTGCATGAGCTCCCAGTGCTCTTCACAACCTGCTGTGTGAGAGCTGCTTGGGGTGCAGCAGGGGCAGGAGACCAAGGTGGCAGCAGAAGAGGAGAGCACAAAGGGAGCAAAGAGAGAGGAAATGCATGAGCCACAGGCAGAGAAGGCCAGGATGCCATCATTGGTGCCAAAACTCTGTATTTTGGCCAAGATCAGCACCCTGTGCTGAGGAAAGAGCAGGCCTCCCTGTCATGTCTGCCCACAGTAATCCACATCTTGAGCAAGGAAGAAGCCATCCCTTCCTCCTGGCAGGTGGAAGAGCCTGGCCAGTCCCAGGTATCCATCCCAGCTGTGTCCCCTGCAGCCAGTGCTGCAGGAGTCAAACTCCTGCTCTGGCAGGCTCAAAGGATTGTTACCAAAAGGCAAAAACAAGCTCACCTGATACAGCTCTGGGCTTTTGGAAGCTCGTGTTCCCAATCAGACATGATGTTAAAGCTTCATTCTAGAGGCAGGTGATGCAGTACCAATAACTGAAGTCTCTGAAGGGATGAAATTTCCAGCTAAATTCTACTGCTGGAGGTACTGCACACATGGAAGAGAGCAGCTACATTTGCTGGGAAAAATAATAGGTGCAGGACCATCCTTCTGACCAGGCAGCACTGAAACATTGAATAGAAGAACCTGCAGATTCTTTTTGAGGTTTTGTTTTCTTCTACAATTTCAGGCAAAGAGGACTAGGTTTTTCTGGAGCATACACCTCCAGTGGAGAGCCCTTGTGCATTTGCCATTGCTATGAGCAATCAGTACCAGGGCTGACTGAACAGCAGCTTGTTTTATGCACGTGTTTTATGCACAAATGTGGAGAACAAGATACTGATTGATCCTAAGAATTTTTTTCCCAGGTGTTCTGAAAGGGGCAGTTGGGACCGAAATCCACCCCAGTGAATCTGAGACACTTGGGTCTCTTTTATTGTCAGAGAGGGAAGATGGCCTAATTAACCATGCTGTAGTCATTGTCAACACTGATGGTACATCTCTTGAGCCAACAAATCCCCCTTGCAGTGGATGTCAGTGGTATAGAACCAGACTGGCAAGAAACTTCTTGGAATTTCCTCTCCTTTTGCTTCTTTGGAGTAGGATTTTCTCCCAGGCACCCTTAGCCAGCAGGAGCTGCTCTTCTGTAGAGTGGTGGATCCTTAGCAGGCGTTGTTTCCACTTGGTTTGCCCTGTGCTACCCAGCTTGCTCAGCAGTGACACAGCTTTCTACAGCTTGGTACCTTCAAAGCCTTTTCAAGTATGAGGCAGGTACTTCAGGAAGAGGTTTGGTGCTGAAGCTGCCCATTCTTTATACTCAGGCTTGTTTCTGTGTGTGTTTGGACACTCATTCATATCTCCTCTCCAGTATTTTGTGTCCCTCTTCAGTGCCTTATCTCCCTTCTGCTCTTCAGTGCTCGCTGTCTCTTGCCAGCTCTCTGTGCTACAGAGGGGAGGGCACAGTTTGGGGGCAGTGCTGAGAATCAGCCTCATTTGGCATCTGCAGGGTGTGCGTGTGGTGATGGGTGTTTCATGTCAGTGTGCTTCTCCTCCCACAGCTGTATCTTACATCTCTGTTCTTGCTGCTGTGGCACATTCCCATCCCTGCCTGCCTCTGTTCTGCAGGCAGCTGCTGGTGAGTATCCTGTTCACTGTCTGCTGCATCCACTGTCCTCATTGTGCTTTCTCTGTCACCCGTTAATGGGTGAATACCTTGTGCAAGCTCCATACCCACCTGTCTGGAAATGGTTCTCTGTCTCTGCTTGTGAGTGATTATCTGCATGTTTGGTTCATCTTCCACTTCCTGGCTCTGATTCTGCTCCCATTCCTAAGCAGCGTGGTTCTGCTGCACACGAGAAAATTGTGCTGGAGCCAGGCTGGAGTGAGCCAGGAACAGTCACCCCCAGAGCTTTACCCTCCTCACAGACACCTGAAGGGACCAGTGAAAGTGGCTGCTGTCCTGGATGTGCACATGCAGGAGTGTGACAAGTGAACCAGCTGCATGTTTTGGTGAAGTGAATAAAGCAGACAGGCAGGGTTCTACTGAGGGACCCTCCTCTGTGCATGTGGCTGCTCCAGCTTGTCCCCAGTGCCACACTGCTGCCCTTGGCCCTTGCTCAGAGAAGATGAGCAGCTGGCAGGAAGGTGGCAAGAATGTGCCACTTAAACATAGGTTGCTAATGGCCGTGTTCCCAGTCTCCAGATGTGTGGCTGCTCTGGGATGCTGGGACCTCCCTCTGTGCTGTGCAGACAATTCCATTATCAGCTCAGTGGCAGCTTTCCAGGTGCCAACGCTCGTGACTGCAGGACTGTTTAATTTTCACTACTCTGAAGTATTTAATTTGTCAGCTGTTAGCTTCTGCTTTGTAAAGATCAAATGCCCAAGTCCTTGCCTAGATTTTAACTCAGTTAGGGCTGGGGAATGGATCCTGTATGAACAGACCATTATATCTAGTCAGGATCAGGGGCAGCATAAAGTCTTGAATTCAGAAAGTCAGTCACTTCTGGGCTAATCAGTAGAAACCCCCTGTCTTCAGGGATGGGTGTCTAATTTCCCTTCTTCTGTTAATTACTATCTGGAGAAATGAAAAATCAGTACTGCTAAAATCACTGCCCACTCACGTTTTGAAGCTGGACTGTGCAGGTGAGGCTTGTGGTTGTGAGTGTCTGACTGAAGGTTCTGGCCCCTCTCTCGTGTGGAGAGCTGCTGCTGTGAGCAAATCACCCTGCAATTCACTGCTGGGGGCCTCTCTTTAATTATTGAGTGCCAGAATAGATGTATATTGAGTTACCTAGCTGGCAAATATAATCTCCAGCATCTCATGTAACTCTGCAATATTCTCAGTTTTCCTACCTGCATAACATGGTCTTCTTCAAAGAATTTAAAACAAGACAAATGTGTTTTTACTTAGTGCTTGTCTAGCAGTGCATGTTGCTGTAGAGTGCTGGCTGACACGTCTTGGTGGAGCTGCAGCAGCTCTGGCCAAGCAGGGGCTGCCTGCATCCCTGCAGGGACTGGTGGCACTTGGAGCTGGGGACAGAAAATCACCAAACACATTTATAATTCTGCTCAGCTTGCAGGAGTGCAAATGGCTGTCAGTGTTCCCTCATCCCTTTCTGTCCTGCTGTCACACACAGGCACCAAAGCAGAGCTGAGCAGTGGTTGAGAAATTAGCCATGGATGCCTTGACCTTTAGTTCCTGTAAAATCCTCTGGGTAATGTAGTCTGCAGTGCTCACAGCCATGACATAACTATTACACATGTGCTTTCTAAGTATGGCGAGCAAACCTCGTCGTTCCTTATTTTGCAAAAGGAATAAATCTGGTGAATTCCACGTCATGCTGATGACAGTTTACAAAAGAAAGAAACATTTCCCAGTGCCTAAATGGAAGAAAAGGCCATACTGTGGTTAGTCGAATCCTTTTGTTGTCACAAGTTTCAGGGAATTCCATGAGCCAGGCAGGAGCTGCGAGCCCGGGGTCCCTCCTGGGTGACCCCCAGGGCTGTCCCCTGCAGCAGGGCTGGCAGGTCCTGGCAGGTCCCGGCAGGTCCCGGCAGGTCCCGGCAGAAAGTGCAGCTGAGATCTCTGGTGCTGCTGGATCCCAGAGCAGGGGAGCAGGGCTCCATCTACTGCTGTGTGGGGAGAAGGCAAAGAAAACCGGGATGGCAATCCTGGGCACGGGAAAGCTGCTGCGTGCGGACTAATACATCTGCTTTTTTTTTTTTTTTTTTTTTTTTTTTTTTTTCCTTTCCCCTGTGGCTTCCAGAACTCTTCCTTCCAATCCAGTTCCCTGACTGGGACATTGTGCAGGTCTGTAGCTGGGGACAGTCCCCATTTGTACATCATATCATGTGAGGCTGGAGAAAACAGCAGGGAGACAAAGTGACTTGTACACACACTCAGAGAATTGGAAGCAGAATCTGAAAAGAGCCCTGATTTCCAGTCTGTTTTCTGACAGGATGGCGTTCAAAACGTGTTGAATACAGAGAGTTCTTGGAGGGCTGCAGGAGCAGGACAGGGCTCAGCTCTGCAGCTCCTTGCTTGGTCTGCCAGAGCTCGGAGCCTCCTGCACTTGTACAGCCACAATGGTTCTTCTATCCCAACGTGTACACAGGCATTTTTATGGGAATGGAGCTCTGCAAAGCTCTTCTGCCAGGCCTGGGGATGCCTGAGGGGTGTGAGCCCTGAATCCAGGCCCGTGTGTGAGTTCTGCACACAAATTCAGTTCTCAATGCTTCCAGTAAAATCCTACTCCTTGCCTTGCAGGCTGTAGCTGAGCAGGGGACCAGGCTGTCCAGGGCTGCCCATCCCTGGAGGGCTCAAGGCCACCTTGGCCAGGGCTTGGGGCAGCCTGCTCTAGTGGAAAGTGACCCTGCTGATGGTGGGCTTGGTAGGCAAAATGGTTTTTAAAGGTTTCTTCCAACACAAATCAGTCTGTGATTCTATACTGAAAAATGAATATTTTCCCCTGTCCTTGATCTTTGCAATCACCTGAGTTACCCCCACTGTGCTGGGTGAGATACTGTTTTATACAGCTGGTACTGCCCAGATTTTAGGATATAGAATACTAGGAAAAGGTGCAAATTTTTCTTTGCAAGTGATTTGCTGGTAGTGAGAACCCATGGTTATTCAGGGCTTGCAGGGAGCATGAGAAGTGTCTGCATTCTCAGGCTTCCACAAAAAGCTTTACTGGGAGTTCTGCACTGATAGCAGGAAGAGTTTGAGCTTACATTATTTGACTGGGAGAGCTTATCTCAAGTTGTGTGAACAGATGTTTCAGATTTGAGTTCAGCCTGGCAGAAAAGGGAGATTAATCTAGTCCCCTATATTTCCCCATCTTTTGCTTGGGGGAAAAAAAAAATCAGAAGTGAGTTTCTTTTTTCCTTTTAACTGGATTTTTCTTTACTGTGAAACCAAAATGCAAGCTCCTGGAAAGGAGGTGAGATGCACTTTTATCCAACCCAGTACTTAAAGCTTTTCACCTGTTTGCTCAGTTGCCTTTTATTTGTCAGCATTTTCACGTGTGGAGCTGCAATTATCTCTGAAAAACATCACAAACAGTTAAACCCCCCAAAACCTCCCCCTCAAAGGCATGGTTTGCTTTCCACATTTTGGTTCATGACACAGCCAGGCAGCCCTTTGTGTAGTAGCTCGTGTGCTGCAGCAAGGGGAACTAAAAAATGCTCCTGACACAGCAGCCAACAATGAACCTGTGTGAGGCTGTGCTCACAGGGGTCAGGGAGAAGACCAGGAAATCTGAAAAAGCTTTCAAGAGAAAGCCCTGAAAATACATGCCAGAAATCAAGGAACAGATTACAGATGAGAAATGCACATCTCCACAGCCTGAGAGGGAAGGATTTGGTTTGGCAGTGGCTGTGGAGCTGTGCTGGGTCGGGCTGAACGTGGCAGCGAATGCAGGTAATTAAGCCAGAGATAATTTAATAATAAGGAGATAATTCAGGCAGATAAGCATGGCCAATTCTGCCTTTTAAGGGAGAATCCAGCCCTGTGTTTGATGGGCAGATCCCACAGGTGGCTGGAAGCTGGAGGACCCTGCACTCTGCTGGCACTGCTGTGCAGTCTGTGAGCCACGGCTGCTGTCTGTGAGCCCTGAGCACCTGTTCTAAGGCAGAGAGGGATGTTTTCAGCCCCAGTCAGGGACAGGGCAGCAAAATCATCTGTTGGGGTTGGAGAGCAGCAGCAGCAGCACAATGACATGGTGTGAGTCCCTGGAGGAGATCAGGTCTGTCATGAGCAGAGGATAAAGAGATAAAAAGTGAGAGGAGCCCTTGCACACATCACCTGAGAGCCCCACGGGGGCCCTGCTGCCACGATCTGTGGGCACCTGGGCAGAACGAGCTCCCAGGGTTGGGTTCAGCATCACCCTGATGCTCGAGCTGCTGGCTAAACGTGGCCTCAGAGCATCTCGGAGGCCAGGAAATCTTTGGGGCTGGAGGAAGCAGAGCTGAACACCTGAATGTTCTCCCTGGAGCCAGCAGAGCTCGGCACAGCCTGCCCTTGGTGCAGCTCTCATGGCAGCACAGGAGGAGTTGGTTTTTGGTGCTCCCTTGTTCACCCTCAGGCTGTAGCCAGGCTGGAAGTTTGCTGCTGCTGCAGTGTTTGTAGCTCAGCCCCTCAGCTCCCCAGGGATTTCAGTGCTGTGCCATGTGGGAAGTAACTCTCCCTTTCCTTGGTCACCCCTTTTTCCCACAAAGTGTCTGCTGAATTCTGCCAAATTAATAATCGATTCAACTCTCACACAGCAGCCCATGGTGATGATCCCATTAACAGCAGCAGGTCTGAGCAAGGCTGGGAGTTCCCAGGTCCCCAGAGAAGATTGGAATTGTCCCAGCTGCCTGGGGAGGGTGTGGGGGTGGTGGAGATGAGGATCTGCAGGGCGCATCTAAAATAACTGAACCGTGACATTTTCTCTTGACAGAAGTGGTGAAAGGCCACAGACGCTTCCTTTCTGTGACTCAGAAACTTGCAAATCTTCTTTGATTCACACCTTATAAGTAAAATTAGCCTGTGCCTCACTGCTGCCAAACTCTTTCAAAGCAAAGATACTTTTACAAAGGAATTCAGCAACAGAAATGCAATTCACTTGTGGATCAGATTACTGTTATTTCTGACTAGAAGCAGCACCAGAAATGCTTGCAGGGATTTCCACTTTGTCTTTGAAAAGATGTGCATATTGTTGGTAGAAAAATATCTGTTTGGGAGGGGAATTGCCATGCATTAGGGGACAGGGAGGGGAATGAGCCCCATGGAGCCGTGCAATGAGGAGGGCAGGAGTTCGGCTTTGGCTTTAACATTCAGTCACTTTGAAACACGGATCTCCAGCTGCCCTTCTCAGGAATGTTGGGATGTGAGTGAGCTGCAATTGCTGCTGCTCAGGAGGACATTTCCAGCCCTAGGTCTGAGCTTTCACCCAGCACTTGGGTCTTTATGCTGCTCCTGCCTTGGCATCCCAGAGAGCTGTCACAGTCCTGCCTGTCGGATTCTTCAGGTGAGGCTTGACAAAGGGAAGGATTCTGTTGATTCTAAAGGCAGCAATTGTTTGTGACACTGATGAATGTGATGTTACCTTGAAATATGAACTTACCATCAGCTGGGAGCATCAGTCAAGAAAAGATCTGGCACTTAAAATCCATGCTGTTCACAGTCTGTATTTTGCAGCCAGCTGTAAGTGAAGCCTCAGTTCCTGTGGTAATGCTCTTGGAGACAGAGCCTGATGGAATCTGCAGGGTGGGCATGGATGGATGGATGGACCCTGCAGCCACAGAGGGCTCCCAGACCCTGCACCCATCCAGCAGAGCACCCTGGGCCCCCAAATGCCAGCACGGAGCAGATGTGTCCAGCAAGGAGGATTAACTGCCTGGGACAGCCAAGGACAGCCTGAGCTGTGGGCCTGAAATGCAGAAACTCGTCTGCTCATAATCTGTGGGGGTGAGTTTTAGAATAAAGCCAAGAGTGCTCTGATCACAGCCCAAAATACTGATATAAATGGTGGAAGGAATGGATGTCTGTAGTACAATGCAGAGGTATATGTTATCTGTAGTATAATATATATAATGTACATGCAGACATTTTTCTTCCTGGCACACCAGGAGTTTTAAACCAAATGAGTACAAAAGCAATTTACTTAAGAAAATGTTAGGCATGTTGCACTGGAAATGGAACTGGTTATATTACTTTACCCCAAAATAATGTACTTGATGTCTTTGGGTGCCAAGTGAAGCCTTTCTGAACAATGCTATGTTTTTGTGGCCATCTCGGCCAGGTTTGTTCTTTCTACTTGATGAACTGTGCACAGAGAAGTGGATTTCCAGGGAATGGATTTTTTTGCCCTTTGGAAATGTGTGAAAGGACAGGAGCATATGGACTTGGCATGCCCCAGGCACGGCTGTGGGAGCCTGGGAACATTTCGTGCCTGCAGCAAGTGTAGGAAGAAGGGAGGAGGAGAGGAGCAGGATGAGCTGTGTGGTGATGGCAGTGAGGGACCCCGTGAGCAGGAGCAGAGGGGGCAGCCCTGACCCCGTCTTCATCACAGCTGAGGAGAGGAGCAGCCCTCCTGCCATGCCCCTGCCCTGCCTCGTGGGTCACAGCAGGATGGGAGAGTCTCATGAAGAGCCACAGGCAACATCTGGACCAGAGAGTGACAATAAAATTTCCAGCCACAGCAAAATCAAGCCAGGTGCTGAAGGAAGAGGGGCTGGCTTTGGACGCTCAGCTCTGTCAGCAGGCAGAGACTCCAGCTGTGAGTGGAGGCAGAAGCATGCCACGGCTTTTCCAAATCTACCACCGTGAGACGCTCTTACGGATTAGAAACTCCAAATGTTGTACAGAGCAATGAGCTAAAAGTGACACCATAGAACTCTTGCACGAATTGCAGGTGAGCACAGGGCAGGTGAGCATGCCACAGCCAGCTGGGCACACACAGCACACCTGCACAGAAAGCCTGGGAGAGGCTGCTCGTGGTCAGCTCCTGCACAGCAAGTGTGCAGCAGTGTCTGAGCAGGGCAGAGCAGTTGCTCCTTGCAGCTGCACTGGCCGTGCCTTTGGTCTCCTTATGGATCCTGGAGAACAGCCCCTCAAATGAAAATGACACGTACAGTTAAATAGGGCGTGTTTTTCTCTGCCCCAAATGTGTGATGCACCCCCGGGAGGTCCAGTGAAAGGTTCATGTGCCTTTTGGAAGGTGTTATTGCCCACCCTTCCAGAAGATGTTCTGATTGACTTACAAGAAGTACTGATAGAGGCTGGGCCTGTGCCCCACTCTGACACCCTGAGCAGGAGATGCTTTTAGTCCCTCACTTTTTAATGTTGGTGTCTCCCTGTTTTGCTTGGAGCAGCAGCAGCACTGCTCTGCACTCCTGTACCTGCAGGAAGGAGTGGGGGCACCGTGCCCCTGCCTCTCGTGGCTCTGCTGGACATTCCTGTGCGTGTCCATGTGCTGCTCCCCTGCCCTGGCACTGAATATCACATCCCGTTTTTGTGAAATGATGCTGATTTGCAGATTCACAACCTCTTTGCAGACCTTTGCCTGCCCCAGTAACTGCTGGGAGCCCCACAAGCCCTGGCAGAGGTGCCAGAACTCCCCTGTGTGCAAAGCGTGCCAGGCTACCACAGCACTTGCTCATGGAGCAGGGAGAAGCATGAATGGGAGAAGATTTTAGGTTTATTTTAGTCAAGAAAATTCAGGGATGTTAGTTACTGAGCTGTCATCGATTTCAGCAATTGCAGAACCCAATTAGCCTCTAATTTTAGTTTCATGCTAATGCCATTTTCAGCTTTCTGTAGCACAGGTGAGGCAGTTTTAGATGTGGTTCCACAGCTGCTTTGTGTGGGTGGCTGCTTCCTAGAACCTGACACTCAGCAGGGAAATTGGGGCAGCCTTGAAAGGCTCTGAAAATTTATACAATTTTTTTTTATTGCTGTCCCACTGCTGCCACATACAGGGCTCACACAGGTACCAGCCCTCATGAGGCACAGGTTTCCCCTGGCTGACACCCCACCTGACACCCCACAGCCCTGCTGGGGCTCACTCACCCACAGGTGTGAAGGGGGGATGTGACTGCAGGATGCTGCAGACCTGAACCCTGCACCTGTAAGCAGCAAGGAAGGACTGGAGTGTTCTTCAGGCAGTGGCCACCGTCTGGGAGACACCAGGGAGCATGGTGTCACCTCTGTGAGCTCTGCCTCACTTCTGCTGGCGTGGTCTGAGTGCAGTGAGGTGTGGGGTGCCCTCCTGGACGTGTCCTGCTCTGGGTTGCAGCACTGAGGTCAGCCTTGCTTGAAGGGAATTCCAGCTGTGCCTGCACTTTGTGGCATTCTCCTGCTCGCAGGTGTTTCTGCACAGCTCTGGTCTGCCCTTGGTATTCCTCATGATCTTGGACTGGTGTAAAAGTTCTGTGGAGTGGCCTGGGCTGGCTGCAAACACCTGGGCACAGCTGGGTTTGGAGCACAGCTGGGAGATTGGTTCTTTTCTGGAAAATACCAAACACATAGATGGGAACAAATGGGGGATGAGTGCCCACATCCCCACCAGGAGCTCAGCACTTTTATCCAGTGGAGCCATGGTATGGGGAAAATGTCCATAGGACGTAGAAGTTTATTTACACATGGATTTAATGTTAACAGGTGGACCCACAGCACAGCCTTTCTGACTTGGAAGCCAATTGCTGACATAGAGCAGCTGAGTTTTATTTGCAGGGAATTGTTGCTCTCCAGTGGATTTGCAGGTGCAGCACAGTGACATGTGAACTGCTTGGGCTTTCCTGCTGTGCTCTCAGCCGTCCTGGAGGATACACAAAAAAGCTGGAGGATGACTGGAATGCTATAACAAATTTTCCATAAAGAAACTCAGTGAAGCTTCAGGAGTCTCCACTGGCTTATGCTGCTTCTGAGACATGTCCAAGCTGATGGTCACATATGAGTTCTTACATCCCTTTTTGAAGGTTTGAAGGCTTTGTTTTCCAGCAGAAGAGCTTTTTTGGGCATTATTTGTGCTGGACTGACCTTCAAATAAAACTAAGACCTGACAACAGAGGAGGTATGACAGCCCTGTCAAGGAATGGATAATCTCCTGTCTTTAAATACACTTTCTATTTATGTTGGCAGTGTACAGATGACTCAGGATTTTACCTGCTATCCCAGACTAACACTTCAAAAGTGCCACCAAGGAAACTTCTCTGCTTATCTCTATTTCCAAACTTCTTAACTGAGTAATGTGAGTTGGTGGATACATCACTCCCTGTTGAACCTCGCAGCTGAAGAATGTTCAAAAGGAAAAGAAAATATTTGGAAAGTATTTTTTTTACTATCAAACAGATCTGGGAATTGTATCAACTGAGGGGATATACCAATTGTTCCTGCAGCCTAATTTTTCATAGTTACTTTATTTTTCATGTTTATCAGAATGATTCAGTTCATACCTCAGACACCTCAATCTCTGCAAGTGTCAGGGTCCCTGGAGGGGCCAGATCAGCTGGCAGACATCTGCCTTGCATTAGGAGAAACACGATCTTCCTGCTGGCCTGGACCCGTGGAAGGGGGTGGGAGCACTGTGAAACTGCTGCTTAAACCAGCACACAACCCAGAATAAATAAGCAAAATATACAATGAAATAAGCTGCCTGCATTTTCTCAGAAAAAAAAGATGAGCATTTTTTGGAAAAGAAGATGCTTTCCCACACCCTTTGTAGAAGCTGCTGTGGATGCCAGGTCGGTTCCCCCTGGGATTGGCTGCTGGGGGCTGAGCAGTGGTGGAGGCTGCCTTGGCTTTGCCATCTGACTCCAGATCTGGCTTCTCTGACACTGCCAGTGCAGTCACCAGGGCTTGGCTGGAGTTAATTGAATTAAATGGGACACTTGCCAGGGCCAGCAGTTATCTCCTATAGTCATTAGCACAGGAAGAGTGTAAGGATTAGCTCTTGTTTGCTGTCTCAGGTGTTAGTGGCAATACCAGCCAGCACTAAGGTCTTGTCAGCAGCAGCCTCTGATAATACCTGGATCATTTCTTTTAAATGCAGGTATTTCTCATTGGAGTAATTTTATTTTAGTCCTCACTTTGAATAGTTTAATGAGTTTCATTTCATCTCTCATTTCAGGGGTCAGCAATTTTACAAGACAGGTATACTCACCCTCTGCCTGCCAGCACTTCCCAAGGACTCCCTGTGCAGCCCTGGGAGCATGGCCATGCTGTGGGGTGAGTGATGCAGAGCAGCCACTGCTCCTGGGACCACATCAACTCTGCCCTGGGGGAGGAAGGACCTGGCCTTGTGACTTCTGGAGGATATTTCTCTGATAAATAAAGATTTAACTACTGCAGGAAGGTGTGGGGATTTGCTCTTTGGCATTCTGGATGAGAACTTCTGGTCCTGAAGGTCTGTACAATTCCTGAGGAAGCAATGGGCACAACCAGAGCAGTGCCCGTGTCCCACATGCCCCTGTCCCACAGTGCTGGCAGCTCACCTGCAAGTGAAGCATTAATTCATTAGCAAACATTAATTCATGAGCAAAACTGTGACAGAGTGCCTCGAGACCTGCCGAGCTCAGACATCTCCTCCATCCACAGTGTGTGGGGTGGGATTGCAGCCTCTGTGCTGGGTTTGGGGTCCACACAGTGTGGACATGGCTGGGAGGTTCTGCCAGAGCCACGGCAGCTGTGCCTGACCCTTGGTGGGTGAGAAGAGCCAGCACAGCGAGCCTGAGCTCGGCTCATGCCTGGATTCATCCTCCCACAGCCCCTGGTCCCAGCAGGCTGGGTGGGGATGCTGCCAGCCCAGGCTGCCCCAGCCCCTCTGCAGCTGCTGGGAAAGGCCCCTTGCTTTGGGAGTCACCTTAAACTCGCTTTGAGGGGTCTGAAAAATTGCTGAACTTTCAAACTGAGTTCTTGTGATTGAATATTTATTGTTGAACTCAGCATGAAATGTAAAACAAAGCCTAAAACCAGGGATGCTTTTGATTTTAGTGTAGATGCTGACAGCATTTTTAATTTATACAGTATTTTAGTAGTGAATGCTTAAAATTATTCTGGTGTTTTGTGTCCTCAGCTGTTTTCTCTCTTCTGTGGTTACCCTCGAGTCTGCACTGGAATGAGTGACATGCAGAGATCTGAGGCTCATGACAAGCTCAGCCTAGAGTGGTTTCAGACACTTTGGTGCAGGGATTTTGTGGCAGTGCCATGGGCTCAGAGCTGCCTCATGGCCCTGTCACAAGAATGGCTGATGCCTCCCTTCCTGCTCACAGGGCTCCAGTGGGTCAGCTTTCACCTGGCTGGAGCTGCCAAGATCCCCAGTTTGAGTCCATTGTGCCGTTGGAGAAGTGTTCATTCTGGTGGAGAAGTCGGAGTTAATGTTGTGTGGCAGTTCAGTGCAGGGTCAGTGAGGTGCTGATGGCCACTCTGGGGCTGCTGGCCATGACCTTGGCACAGACTGCCAGGGCCAGGGCTGGTGCCAAGGCACAGCTGCTAATATCTC